GGGTGTTCACCGCGTCACCCCGTTGAGGCGGAGCAGTTGGCACTTGCGAGGTCTGCCGTTCAAAGAGATCTCGCGGAGACTCGACAGACAGTCGAAGGTGCATAGTACGCATGCGCTTTGATGCATATATGTGTATATATATATATATATATATAGGTTGTGTATATATATGTCCGGCCGCATGTGGAGGCGGCCATCACCCGTATAATTTTTTATTTCCAGATTTATAATAGACTAGAGTATTTAATATTGATTTGCGAGCGATCGCGCAAGCAGCTAATCAAACAAACTTAATAATAAACACCACAGTTCTTTAGTTCGATGATTCCAGATTATTCAGTATTGATCATGTTTATTGTGTATGCTTGATATATATATATATCGCACAAGCAGCAGACAAAAACAATTGATAATAAAAATTGTAGCATATTAAGATCACATAAAATATATATATTGACAGAAGTAAGTATATATTATATACCAGAGAGTTGAAAATTACATATTTGTCTTATTAATAATTGTTATATCCCATTTATTTTAGTTGCAGTATATGTAACATATATAGACTCTCTAAACATTAAATTGCAATTTCAAATGGAAGACAATATTGATGTAAGCAGCTGCAGTAGTAATCATAGTAGCTGCAGTACAGACACCCAAGAAATCAGCTCATCTGAAGACAGCTGCAATAGTGATCATGAAAGTCTTTCCAGATATCCGAAACGATATAAAAAAATGTTTCACATGGATTATCAGCCTGGCAATGTGTCAGATCTGACTCGTAAAAGATGGACTCATCAAACCAATTTACAAGCTAATAGTGATGTAAATAATGGTAATTTTCAGCATAAATTGAATATATTGCATGTATGAGCATGTGGTACTAACAAGTACGCATTTAAGCAATTATAAACCTTTAGAGCCAATATGCTTAGTTTGAGAATATATTTGATACCATAAGCATCAACTATACGCGATAAGGAAATAGCTATGTACGAGTATGTGTATTAGTAATTAACTTTCTGACTAATACATAATTGATGCGGCAACTAGAAATTTCAGCCTCTGTTATTTATTAAAATAAAGCATGTGACTTTCATATGTATTTATGTGACCGTCATTAATAAATTAATTTATAATGCCATGTGTACTTGAAATTATAACCAGTTACAAATCATATTTCACGGTAAAGAGAGGTAAATTTATATATATATATATATATATATATATATATACATTTGACAAAAAATCCTGTACAGATAGTAGAGATAATCGTTCTATCCCTAACAGATAAATTGTATTATGTTTTAGCTTGTGAGATAGTTTTCAACAATTTTCAGGGCCCAATCCAATTTATGTATCAGGATCTAATCTGATGTAAATAATTCCTGAAGAAAATTTATTCATCACCTAATAAAAATCAGTGCACGCAACTGATACATTGTGTTTATTGTTTCGCCTTTAGAAGCAGTAAATATTAGTTCTTATACATACATTATACTGATTTCTATTAAATGAATAATTTGTTTTAATGAAGGAATTTGCATATACATACAATTTGATTCCAATGTAATATTATTTAATTTAAAAGCATCAGAATACTATTCTATCGAATTGATTTGAAATTGTTTTAAATATTCTACCTTTATAATATATTATTTTATTATAGTTCCATATATTCTCGAATATAAATTAAACACTTAAACAATTTATATATATATATATATATATCTGTTTTTTTGGTGTATTTAATCGTTAAATACACTCAATTTTGCGTTAAAAATTAAAAATGTCTTGAACGAAAGTTGATGATTACATTCATAATAATTAACTCTGATTTTCCAGTATTTCTTATGGGCTTTTGGTAATTAGTTAATGATTAAAACTAATTAAATCTTGTTTGTTTCCAAATAAATATAATCCTTAACTTTTGTTTAGTTTTTTAGTTTTATTATAGACTAAATAATATTTTTGTATTAGCAAGATTAGAGTACCACACACACAATTAATTTAAATAATTAAAGATGAAAATAGTACATAGAGAACCATCTATGTGAAGAGGGCCCAAAACATTTGAATGAGGCCACTCCCGCATACTCTACCTCCGACCAATTAGGGTTCGAACTTCGCTTACGCTTGAGACACTTCCCAAATTTTTCAACCAATTAACCCTTTGAAGCATACATTTTTCTCTCCAGGATATTTAGATGAAAATTTATATATAGGGGTTATTGAGGTCGCTGATCATGAATCTGACATTAGATTGTTCGAATTTTGCATCTAAGATGGTGGATTCAGAATGGCGGACATAGATTTTTTTCTATATTCGCTTGAAAATTTTAAAATCCATAACTAATGAGTTTTAGGGGTCACTGATAACGAATCTGATATCAGGTTTCCTAAATGATGTATCCAAAATGGCGAATTCAAAATGGCGGACAGGCATTTATTTTCTATATTGGCCTGAATACTTCAAAATTCAATGTAAGGGCTTTTAGGGCTCGCTGATAACGAATCTGATATCAGATTTCCGAAATAATATATCCAAAATGGCGGATCCAAAAATTCGGATATCAAATTTCATTTTTAGGGACTTCATTTCCATGAAACGTAATTTCTAAGGGTTTTCGGTCGTGCTGATAACAAATCTAATAATATAATTTAGTATTCTGTTTCAAATATTCTAGTATTTTGTTTTCTGATTAGGTGAATGAATCTCTCAAAAAAACAAAAATATATATATATATATATGGCCCTCAGACCCATGGAGAGTACATTCAATACAAAGTGTTTGGTGCTCATACAAATCGCCAAAAGGCCCTCAACCCCCGACCTACGAAAAATAAATAAAGATCGGCTCTTTGCTTCTGGAGTCATCCATATATTTGTTGACACTCATTGACTAAAATAAAACATAAAAAATGCAGAAAATAATATATAAAAAATAAAAAATAATATAAAATATAAAAAATAAAAAAAATATATAAAATATAAAAAATATAAAAAAATATAAAATATGAAAAATACAAAAAAAACGTAAATGGAGCTTGAACTCATCACGTCCTCATCGTAAGCTCCGGGTAATGTCGAGAATGAGTGAAAGAAGTATCCACTATTCTGAGATATTATACTTTCAAGTCATGCAAATAAGCATGTACATCAATCATATCCTTTGGCCATCTTGGCTGCAGAATTTCAGAAAACTAGTATGATATTGATTATTACTGAGATTGAGGCACTTTAGATATGAGTTTGAGAGTATTCAAGCCAATATAAAAATATACATATCCGCCATTTTGAAAGCATTATTTCGGAAACCTGATACCAGAATCGTTATCTGCGACCCCTAAAACCCTTTAGATATGAATTTTAGAGTATTGGTATCAATATAGGAAATCTTCTTGCCCGCCATTTTAGATCCGCCATCTTGGATACACAATTTTTGAAATCTGATGTCAAATTATTATTCAGCGACCCCAAAAACCTTTGTATACCAAATTTGAAAGGGATACTCTCATTATTCGCGTCAATAATGAATTTCTCCCCAAAAATTCAATTTTTTTCTTCTTTGTTCATTTAAAAATATTAAAAAATAACCCAATATATTGATTTCAACTACAAAATTATGTTTTTGAACTATTAATGAACTGAAAGAATACAAAAGACCCTGTTGAAATCCATAATGTTGTTCTAAAATGGCTAAAGAAGCAATAAATCAATGTGTCCATCAGGATGGACACTGTGCTTCAAAGGGTTAAACCAGAAAAATTTAAGTTCTTCCTACCCAAAAATGACAAGAAATTCAGAGTGGGACTCTCTCGCGAAAAGCATAAAAGGAAGCTCGTGAAGAAAAATAGGCAGTTCTATCCCAGTTCGTTCCAGTTCAGTACTTTGTAAAAAGGACCTCCATTTTATTTTGTATGTGCGTGTGGGAAATAAGTACTAAAAAAGTAAGTAAACTAATTTAATGAAAACCAAAACTCTAATTTGGTTCATTTAATTCATTTCTTTAATCATTTTTTCCTTTCTTAGTTTCTTGTATGGTTTTTTTTTATTTTAGATAATTACACTCGATTGCCAAGCGTGGTGTGGTCGAGTGCATATTAGATAGGCTCCCTGTTACATAATTTTATTGCCAAGAGTGTGGTAACGTAACGCGAAGCATAACTATATTGCCAAGCGTGTGGTATAGCGAAACTTCAATCCCCCGTCGCCGAAAAGAAAATTTCTCGCGATAGTGGTAACGCACGACCCAGTTATTGTCCGAAAGGATAGACCAAAAAATGCGCCTGAGACTACGTCTACCTCAGACGTGCCTGAAAAAATATGTTGCGTTAACCGACGTCACAAGACGAATAGGTGATCAACCGTTACGACCGATATGATCGCCAGTAAAACTGTTCGACCATGTACGCGTGAGCATGACGCCCGAACATGCAAAAAGAGGAAGAGAGAAACACAGACGTTTATCCTCAGTCACGTAAACCCGGCAATAACGCACCCGAAAAAAATTCTAAACTCATCGGAAAATCGACGATGCGCCGAAAGCTACGGTCCAGCACTAAATTTTCCTAAAACTCTCTCTTTCTCTCATACGGCCCCTCACCCCTCTTGAACTTTCTCCATTCGCCGTCTCTTCATCACCCGCATTAATCAGCCGTTTCTGATTTCACCAATCATCTCGTTCACCGTTCCTCAAACGAAGGAAATACACACTCATACATATACACTCTCAACTTGAAATGGTGAACGGACGATTGTAAGTCGTAAAACTGTAATTTTCTGTTACAATTTGAAGAACATTAAAATAAAAGAATCACAGGAATTTAAAAGCCTTATTAGAATTATTTTTATATTATAGTTAAGATTACGATTATTTTCCAGATGTTAGCGTTAGCTTGATAATTACTGTATTTCCATTTTATCTAGGCAATTAAATTTTTTTCATATATTAATGATGTATATTTTAACGTTATTTTGAATTATGCTATATTTTGCAGGTAAAATCAAAACAAAAAACTTCTCCAATTGAACAATTGGGAACTTATGATTCATGTGTCAATATTGATAACGAGAAACTTGTAGCTTTTGATAGTGAACGGATACAGTACTGGGTGGGTCATGGTGCTAGAATATCTCGGCCGATTTTAGAAATTCTGGGAGTTTCTGGATTTTTACCGATACATCCACGATCTTATATTAAATCATGGAGAAGGCGTAATGATCAAAAACTTAATAATAATTGAAATATTTAAAATATGTGTTAATAATAATCATTAAAATGTATATTTGTTAAATAAATCATTATTTAAAAACTGTAAATTCTTTTTTCTTCATTACACTATAATAATGACTTATTTTTATCAAACCGAGAAAGTGAATCATATATCTTGGTAGTGACATTCTTCGCATAGAAATAAATAACATTTAAAACATCATCCCTTATATCTATGTTAAATAACGCGCACAAATGCTTGTGTATGTTATTCGAATAAAAGTTCACAAGAAAGCCAGTTCAGCGAAAGTCGAGACTGTACATTTGAGACATACTAAAGAGTCTTCTACCGGACATTACATAAGATTATAAGATATAAAGATTAAGTAACCATCACACCACTAATTTGAATAATAATAGTTTAAGCTTTCCGAGAAGCGGGCTATATATATGTTTAGGTCAAGATGTTTTTGCATAACACCATTTGTGTTCCAGATGGAAAATTTGTGCTGTTTATTATGTCATATTGTTTACTAGTATTATTAGTAGATTTAATATTGTGCCCATTTTTTCTGCTCTAACTTGGCGGTTGTTTTGTTTGGTCTGACTATTTGTTGATACTTAAATTTAAATTTGATTGAGTTTGATTGCTGTTTTGCCTTCGTTTTTTTTTTAATTTTTGCAATGATTTTGCTCTAGATGTCTCTGAATTAGATACCTTTTCTAATTTGCAGTGTCTTTACCATTAGAATTAGCACATTTTACATTTCTAATTTTTTCCCTTGTCGGGCAGTCTTTAGTTGTGTGTTGTTTTGCACATTTCACATAACTGTACTTTTATTACAATAATTTTCTCTATGCCCGAGTTTCTGTCAGTTATTACATTGTGAATGTTTCTTTTAGTAGATCGAATTTAATAGTAGTATTTAAATAACCAGACCGACACAGTTTCAAAATAGAAAAATTAAAAAACACGGTAGTACATTTCCTTAAGTTTTTGAAGCGATGAATCGGAATCTGGCTTCAAAATTGATTCATCACCTAAGATTATCAAAATATTCTAACCTAACAGTGTGAAAATCACAATATTTTTTTATATTCGAGATTATGTAACAATGTAAATATATTTCTTTCAAAAAATAAATTATGACGAAAAAGCACTCTTATCCGTTCTCAGTCATCTTTTTTTCTACCGATATATTGATATAAGTTGAGCATTTTAAATGTCGAACCCCAATTACGTTAACCCCCGACCCTTGTAACCTTTGACCATAAGCCCAAATCCTTGAACTCCAATTCTGATCTTTGTAACCTGTTAGTATATAACCCTAGGTCCTTGAATCCCAATTTCCTTAACTCCCGACCCCAGTAATTTGACGTTAAGTTTTTGTTGCGAAACTGCTACAATACAATATAATCAAACAATGATATTTTGACAGCTATGGAGGATGCAGAAATTCACACCGCAAGTCAATAAAAGAAAAAGAAACAGAGACGAGTTATCACTTACAAAAATTACATTTTATTGATAAAATGTACGTAAAGAGAAAAAGAGTACGTAATTTTAATTTTCCCCAGGTCAGCCCAAGGTCGGTCAATTCGTCGTTATCTGCCGGATCTACTACTACCTACTTAAACCTATTCGGTGCAACTCAGCCGAACGCTCATTTAACCCGCTCGCAATCTGCCCCAGTTGAATTCCCTACGTTATTTTGCCGTTCACAGAGCACCAGCTACTGATTCGATCCGGCTCATCAGGACGCGAACATGGCCCGCATCCGCGATGTTCATGAATTCAGTCTGTCCGCTAGGAAAAGAAAAATATAAGATGACAAAGGTTTCGCACGCTCCCAGTCACTCGCGGGCTAGCTTAATTGGCATCGCGAAGATCTTAACTCGAGCGGTTATTTGGCACGCTCCCGATCACGTAACGGAGAAGAAAAACTCTGTAAGATACTCACTGTTTCTCCGATTTTCCACTAAATGAAAAGAGAACTGTAACGGTATCTAGTTTGGCTCGTGATAGTTCAGGCACCGCACTCTCGACCTGTGACTCCCTTTTGTCACCTAACTCAAGCCTCCCCTCATCTCATCTTTTGAATTTGCATAAATTAATATGGACTTAGGCAAGCATATCTGTGTGTTTGTGTGTGTGTTAGTAGTTCAACCAGGCAGGTAGCAACCTTGATTGTTTATGTTGACGAGTGATATAGTGATGAGCTTTGATCTGTTTGTGTGGCTTACTTCAATGTATACGATATTGCTTAAAAATAAATAAAATTAGCAAACGTCTTAAGTTCTAACGCAAGTACCTGTACGCAATCTTGAGCAGAGCTAGCCGCTATAAGAGACACCAGCGGTGGTCAATGGCCAATTGTTGAGCGACCATATCACCTGTTACAATATATATGTGTGTGCGTGTGTGTGTCTGTATCTGTGTATCATGTAAATATGCTTTGCTATATCTTAATGAGGTATAAGCACGGTGGAAGATAGAAAGGTAGACCGTCTTCCTATGCCCGCTATTCGGAGAGCGAGTGCTCTTAAAGAGGTGTCACTGTTGCCAGTATAAGGCGCCAATTTTGATGAGTATCGACAGCTCACACCTATAACAAAGCCGACTAGTGTGCGTGCGGCCGTGTAGAGCGGGGAACGCTCACATGTAAGCACTACTATAAGGCATCAATTCAAATTTCCGGTCGGTAATATTTATAATGAACGTGCAACGTTTATTCATCATTTTTTCATTGCCAATCGTATAATATTTATTTCCAAATGCTTGATTATAATGCTTTAACTAACATTTTAGAGTTGACCCTAAATATTATTAGGGAAATACTTTTTCTTAAGTAAAAAGATCTGCTCTCTTCGAATCTGAGGTCAGATTTAAAAAGTTTCCCCCTAGAAATTCAATATGGCCGCTTGAATATGGCTGAATTCAAAGCCCTTTCTGTCTGATTTGAATAATTTACGTATTGTTTTATTCGAAAAAATAAGGTTTTGAAGCTAGCTATATTACATCCTTGGAATATAGAATTGATGGCAAAAATGTGAAAATGATAATACTAAACATCCTCAAAATCGCGTGTCCAATATGGCGGCCATTACTAAAAAATTTTTTTTTGCAAATTTATAGTAAGTGAGTAATCATTTCATATATTTTGGAATGTCTCATATAATATGCATAAGCTAGTGCATTAACTCGTACAGAATAAAAAAAAATTGTTTTACTTAAAAAACAAAAAAAATATAATTCCTGAATATTAGGTATTACTTTCTGTTCACCTCCTCATAATAGGAGTCGGTCAACATTTTGAATGACTAAGAAACAGAAAATCATAAAATTACTAAAATTTTTTGGAATTATGGGTATATTAGATCCGCCGTTTGGTAAATAGAAAATCTGTTACGAAATTCGGATTTATAACCCTCCAAAACATAAAATAATTACTCGCTTGCTTTGAATTTGATAAAACAAAAATATGGTAGTATTGGCGGCCATATTGTATCCGCCATATTGTACAATGATAATCTGTTATAATATCTGTATTCAATACCCTTCAAAGCATATAAAATGATTACTCGCTTGCTTTAAATTTATAAAAAAAAATTTTTTAGTAATAAGCAGCCATATTGGATCCGGCATTTTAAAAATATTTATTATTAACATTTTTACATCTTTCCCATAAATTCTACATTCCAAGGATGTAATATGGCTAGCTTCCAAACCTTATTTTTTCAAATAAAACAATACGTAAATTGTTAAAATCGGACAGACGGTACTTTGAGTTCAGTCATTTTCAGGCCGCCATATTGAATTTCTAGGGGAACATTTTTCAAATCTGACCTCAGATTCCAAGAATCTGATCCTTTTACTTAAGAAAATGTCTTTTTCGAACAATATTTAGGTTGCCTTATGTTTTTAGAGACGAAAAACCAACCGTCTATCAAATGTCCGCTTGGCCGTTAATGGGTTGAATTCATTCATTTTAGCATCTCAAAACCAACAGCTGCTTTATTAACCCTTAACTTGCATACCTCATTTTGGCCACGTAACTGCTCGATGGGATAAATCTACCCTAGACCGAAAAACATCGAATAAATCAGAGAATTTTAGATATTTTGTTATGTCAATTTTTTCTAGTATGTTTCAAACCTTTTACAAAAAAAAATATTCAGGTTAACAAGTTTTAATGTTACACACACTGAAAAAAATTGTTGAAAAAAAAAACATTTTATTTACTGTTAAAAATTGTCTGGGGTAAATCTACCCCACATAGCAGTTAAGGGTTAAATCACGCGTGTAAACTTTAAATGGAATTCAATTATTACAATTATTTTGGTATTTTTTACTTTCGCATTATTTAAACTAAGTTTAATTTGTTAAACCCAAGCACCAAATACACAAATATATTTACTCATGGTTAAGCCTTCGGGGGATTTCATAAACATATGCCACTTTCAATTTTAACCCGATGATTGCGGCGATAGCTGTGCGAGCTAAGTCTAACGCTCATTCTTAGTTTTGCCGGCGGAATCGTATGTTCGATCCCTGCATAATACTACTTTTTTTTTTCTTTTTTTTTTCTTCTTTCTTTCACTTGCACAAGACAATATTTTATAGTACTATAATTTTCTTCTATCTACCTCTTTATAAGTTGTGATAAAATGACGAATGAAATAGAAATCAATCATAATTTGCAAAACAAATTATTAATTGCTGAATATCAGTCTAAATATATATCATCTAATTTTCTTGCTACAATTCAGGTTGTAGATATTATTTATGAATTGTTCAGCATCTGAAAAATGTTTTTAGATTATAAGACATAAAGTTAAATAAAATTTTTAAATCCTTACATAAGCTTTGAAACAAACATAGATATTTTGCTATTCGTTCTAAAATCCGTCGCTGCAAAAAGTCTATCCCTCTAGTGTAATTTATAGAAAGATGACATTGCTAAGATTAAAGTTAAAGATGATAATATGTAATTTGTTTGTCAACCTTTACAAATATTTTTTATACTACCATTTTCTAGTTCTCCTTTCTTCCATATAGAGTCAAAAGGAAAATTATATTTATACTGAATACATTTC